ATTGACCAATCTAGAGAAATCAAATTGTACCTGTCCTTCCAGTCTGACGGTGCGCAGAACAGATTTACTGGGGAATTAAATCACAAGGTGATATATCGTCACACTGACCCGGAGCAACGTTAAAGCAGCTCCGGACTCTAAGACCAGGAACCATCTTTATACTTGCATGTGAAGTTTCTGTCAGGCCTCCGTATTCAGCAGCTCCTCGGTTAATGTCGCGCTCTTTTCTCTCCCTGCTTGCCGAAAACGACCGATCCATATTCTATTAACTGCTGCCCCCTTCCCTCTAAGTAGATCCACCAAAGCTGTTTTCGTATGCCAAAGGGCAAGAAACATGGCTGTCTGTCCACGCGCATCTTCAGCTTCTAATTCTAGCTCGTGATCCAGTTGCATAGCAACTATTGCTACCTTTTCGCCCCCACTGACTGCAGCATGATGCAAGACATTAAGCCCGCCGACATCTCCTCTCCAAGCTGCTTCCCGCCCTGCTCGGTTTGCCATCAGCATCCTCAGCGCACCATCTTCACCCTGTGCCGCCGCCTCATGCGCTGCGCACATTCCTGCTTTGTCTGTTGCACTGGGGCTTGCCGCTCGTCTCTGTAATAAACCAATGCATTGCTGGCTGCCTGACCGAGCCGCATAGTGCAAAGGGGTGCGCCCATTTCTCGTCCGCCAGTGGACAGCTTCTCCTGCTGCATCGAGTATCAGGGTTAGCGTTTGGACACAATCTGCTTTCGCAGCAAGGTGCGCTGCTGTGGCACCCTCTTTGTTTCTGAGGTCTACCCTAGCGGAAGCGTCAAGTAACAGTTTGACGGTTCCAGGTATACCCGCTAATGCGGCGAGCATGAGAGGGGTCCAGTCCCCACTTTTCACGGCATTCACAGGAGCATTGTGACGAAGAAGCAGACGCACGCAGGGTGGGCCGAATTCATCGCCCCTTCGCGCGGCCTCGTGCAGGACAGTTCGCAGATGCTGACTGTGTCCCCGCACAGATGGAGAGTGACTTCGAGAAAGCAGATGATCAACGAGGGGAACGGGCGACGGATGGGAGGAGATGACTACGTGCAGCGCAGTCTCGTCGGCTGGGGTTCGTAGAGAAGAAAACAATGCGGGTAGTGGTGTGGCCGGGTGTAAAGCAGCGAGAGATGCGATTGTTTCAGAGAGCGATGTCACACTGCCTGTGCGGCACTGCTTGAAAAACTTGCGCTTGAGAGGATGAAGAGAGGACTGTCGCCGCCCGGGGGCGGTTTGCGAGCTTCCAGTTGTGGACATGCATGGAGGTGCGCCGATGCTTGTCGGTACCGTCGATGATTGTCTCTTCGGCCTTTTCAGCCTCTCTACATATCCAGCATTCGCATCGAGAGGGATTTGCCGGTGCCTGTGCCCATATGAAGACGAATAATAAAAAAACGCAAGCTCATAATGTAACCATTGGGCAACAGGTGCCCTGTGCTCCGGCTGTGCGCTTGACTGAGGATAGGTATACTTGCCCAACGGGACAGACACCCGGCCCTACTCGACGCAGTATTCAAACAGCCGTGTTAATGCAGTATGCTAGTCTAGACTAGCGGCTTCGTACACACCTGAGATCATGTGTTCAGTTATCACCCCTAGTCTCTCGCGAAGATGGCTAACTGATAGACGCAGGTGTAAAGCAAGTAGCGAAACTTATTTTGATCTTAGCAATTCGGCTGCCTCCTACTGATATAACCGCTTTTCCGCTCTCACCTTTTACTGAGCGAAAAGACGCACAGTTGAAGCTTGTCATCACGATGATGCAATGTATCGAGAACGGCACTTCTGTTAAGACTAATGTATTGAGCTTTTTCTTGCCTTCAAAAGAAACATTTGACGAGGGGAGGATGTACTGCAGCCAACAAAGAGAATATTTGGATGCTGTCATGCATACCTGTTTGCGTTTCTCTGTGTCCTGCTACAGCACAATTCGACTACTACTTTGATCAGAACCTGATTCAGTAGTTTAGATCTTAGGACGTCCCACATTGCGCTTCTGTTTTTCACAGCACAATCGCACTGGGTTTCCATGACGCCGGGAACTGTGACAAACACGATGTGCGAATGACGGAAAATCTGCCTACAGAGTATGTCGATATGCTTCCCTTCGGTAGTCAGGAGCTGAAGTAAACGGTGCACATAGCGAGCCAAACAAGATTACTGAAGCTCTGTTGTCGGACGAAGCCGCCAATAGTTATCGAAGGGTAGCCATTTCGAGTATGGTTTGAGGTGAAAATGATAAGAATCATTGAAAACAGCGGTTGTGAGAACTGAGGACACAGCTTGCAAAGCGTAACTAAGGGCCTAAGATGCTTGTTATATACTTGCAGCACGGAGGTGACGGTAGACCTAGTGTCTGATTAGTGCTGTCGGATGCTCTCCCCTGTTATGTCAGAATAGTGATACACACATAGCAACAACAGAAACTTTCGATGGGTATAGACATTTGGACGAGGAATTTTGTTTTAATACACGTCAGTCCGTTCGCTACTAAGCGAAGTTGCATTGATAAAGCCTCACCTCCCTTTCCCCTCGGATAACGCTGAGACTTCCTGTATAGAACCTCCATGAAATTAAGGTTTGAAGAGTCTTGCTTGTTCCTAGTATGGAACTGCGGTACGTCCGAACGGTGTTAGATAGGAATGTACAGTGAAGCGTGAGTGAAAGTGTCAGAAAAGGGCCTCCCTGAGAGCTCTATGCTCTCAGAGCGGATTTCATTCCCGGAACATGGTTCTGCGATTACGTTCATTCATGGATCCGAGCAGTACAGAAAATGTATTCTATTGTCATAGAAAGCAGTAGTGCGACAGCAATTGCAACTGCTCCATGAACCTACAGCAGGACCGGATTGGCATACTTCGTTTCAGAGTGTCAAGGTTAAAGTATATATAAACGTTGTCCGCAAAGTCGGGAAAACGCGTGTTTTTACAACGAGTTCGATCATACTTTCTGGCAGAAATATTTTCGAACAACGCCTTTTACTAAACCAATAGGACCTCCAAAACACGCTGCATGTGAGTTTTACGTGAGTTTTGACAGCCTCTGCAGCACTTTGGCCTCCAACTGCACAACACCACTACCATTCTTCTAACCATCCGCGCACTTCACACAACGTCACACACCCCCCGCCAACCCCTTTCTAAGGCAAATATGGACTCCTCGTCTGCCCCTAACGCGCACATAGAAACTTAGACACCGGCCATACTGGTTGTGGCTGTACAAAAAGCCACGTGAGGATGGGTTTGAACCACCTTCCAGGTTGATGATGACATCGAGAAGGCCTGCTATGTACGGCTTGTGAAAAACTCGTGGTTGGATTTCCAGTTTTATAATTTACTAATGCGACCCACCAGTTTTGGTTTCTGCAACCAAAAACAAGCGTTTACTTTGCGGACAACGTTTGACTGGTGGACCGTCTGCCAGCAGACGGTCCAGTGGTACATTTTTGCAGAAAACGGCGGTTCTGGAATATTTGCAATTTGTAACACAATCTCATCCATTCAATTTCCGAAAAGGTGCAGGAAGGGCAGTGCAAATCGTATCGTGCGGTATGATACTGTGATACCAAAGGTACTGTACCGAACAGTGTTGGGGCTCCGCGAATCTGGAGAGATAGTCCCTGCCACAAGTCCCACCTCTTAGTGGCTCCCCTCAGCGCCTGGTGCACTACCCGCAGGCAGTATGCTTCCTGCTGACCTCCACTATCTCCACACCCCCGGCAAATGGTAAGAAATCATATCTGCCCATCTTTCAACATTGCAGACAGACGGCACAAATATATTCCGCTGAGCCGTTAACACGGCCCCCCTCACTTTACTAGCCTCACTCCATTCCCGCCTACAACTCGCCTCGACAACCTATCGACATCAAACCAACGCGTGCAGTCACGAACCTCCATCGTTCGACAGCCTCAAGGGAAAGCAAGCACACAGCCACCTTCCCGACGCCACGCCTCACTTTGACCTTCTCACCATGTCCCGCCGCACGTCAGCCTTCGTCCCGCCGACGGCACTTCGCTCTTCCTGCTTCTCCGGCGTCCGCCCGCGGAGTTTATCGACCATGCGCCCCGCCCCGCAACGGCCCGCCGCTCTGCCCCGGCCTGCGCGTCAACCAGCGCGTCAACCAACGCGCATGATCGGCCCGTTTTTCCCGGACTTCAGCACAAGTAAGCTCATGCAGTCGGAGATTGTGCGCAAGGAAATGGGCGCGTTGGAGCGCGATTACGCGGAGCTAGCAAAACTGGGGTCACGCTATGAAGTGAGTTTATTTTTGTTACAGCACGGGGCTCGATTTTTGCCCAGCGCCGGAGCAGGGACACCGAATGTGTACTGACCTGTTTGATCTCTATGCTTTGCGCAGTCGTTTGATCGAGAGGGAAAAACAATTTACATCGAGTCGGCTTTGGACGTTGTCGACCGATTCGCCATCTTTCTCGCAAGACTGAAGTTGAGTGAGGAATTCCAGGCTCAGATGTTCATCAAGCAGTACCAGGTCAAACTACAAGAATACGGCCTCACTATAGATTCGCTCATTATGAACACCAAGAAGAGCTTAGAGATGATGCATGGAGATATTGACAAGAAATTTCACTGAATGTTGTTCATTTAACTTAAACCCGTGTAGTTATGAAGAAGGTTGCCTTCGGAATCATTCACCGCTTTATCGAAGCAATAGAAGCGGTGGCTCGTTTGCATTGATTCTATCGGCTTGGCGGTTTGAACCTTCGCAGCATGGCGCCCTCCACGAAGCGTGTCACGATAGCCTCCCTGAACCAGCGCCAAATTATTCTCAGAAAAATGGTAGGAGAAAAGAGTTTGCCTCGCATCCGCAAAAACCCTTCCGCGTTTCGCTCAGTCACGTAACTAATAGCTAGGGGCCAGTTGTCGTTTCTGCCCCTACATGTACGCATATTCGGCAATGGCAACCTACTGGTTTGCCACCGACATATTAGACATCTGCCCGTCATCCCGCTCCCTACACACAGACTAGTCTTTTCTGTCGTGGCCATCAGACGTCCGAGCAGCCTTCAATTCTCGCTGAAAGCGAAGAAAGCCGCCCCGATCACGTACTTCCTTGATGAACAAACCCTTGCTTTGCGAATCAAGCCTTGCTCCAGAACTGATCATATAGCGCAAAGTCTGCAACGCAGCATTCTCATCGTCGGCCCATATATCGCTTTCCAGCATCCATATCCACGTTCGCGCACGAATAGTGAGACCGGTCTCAAGCATTTCACGCATCAAACGTCGCGCATTTTCCCGATCGTTACCGCGTAAGCAGGCATTGATCACAGCATACCTGGTCCTCTCCTCGATTTGATAACCGCCTTGCTTCATGGCTTCGTATAGCTGGACTGCTCTCTGCGGGTCTCGGGCCCGCCCAAAACCTTTCAAGAGAGACGTCATAGTGCAAATATCCGGATTCATCCCTCGTTCTATCATTTCATCGAAGAACTTTACAGCTTGCTCCATGTCCCCGCGGTGCGCGCACCCATCAATCATGGTGTTGAACGTGACAATAGATGGCTCGACTGTCTGCTGCATTTCCTCGTAGATGGCCAGAGCGTGGTCGAATTTACCGGCGCGGGCGTAAAGCTTGAGGAGTGTGTTAAACGTGGGCGCACCTGGCTTGACTTTGTGCTTGTGCATGAGGCTCATAGCTTGATCAAGAGACCTTTGATCTTTTGCCCTAACGCAGATATTGAGCAGTGTGTTGAACGTCTGTAAAGCATTCACATACCAGAAAATGATACACAACGAAACAGAAAGAGTAGACAATTAGAAAAAGGCGAGGTTGTTCGCGCCAAGGCAAACTCAAAAACGTTAAAGCACGTACCGTTTCATCGGGCTTAATTCCGGCCTCCTCGATAATCTTAATAATCTCAAACCCGCGCCTCACGTTTGCCCTCTTCGCATAGCCTTTGAGCAACGTATTATACAAAATAATATGCGGCCTTCTCCCAGAGTCATGCAAGGAGTTGAGGACTTTCTGAGCTGAGGCCATATCTTGTGCCCTGACCAAGGCACCCATAAGCTCTGCATACAAAAACATATCCCCATCAATGCCGTACTGGACCATGATTTTCCATACCTTCTTCCCCCCCCTCCCATCGCCCCTTGAGCAGCAAGACTTCATAAGGGGGCGAAAAGTGATAATATTAGCGACGCCCCTCCTCCCCGCCTCACAGGCGAGCTCGAGGCCGTCATCAAAGCGGCCCTTGGAGGCGAGCAAGCTGACGACTTGATTGAAATTCTGGGTGACAGCGATGCCGTCCTGGCTCAAGTTCCAGAGCATTTCGACGGCGGCGTCGACGCCGTGGCGGTTGGCCTCCGTGACGAGGGAGGCGTTCTGGCGGCGCCAGACATGCTCCGAATCCCCGGAGTCATCGAGGCTGACCGGCTGGTCTCGTGTGTGGTCGACATGGAGGTCGCGGACGGTGGCGACGGGGTGCAAGTGCTGGCGGCGCGTGCACAGACGCCGACGCGGCAGGGGGTGGCGAGCGCAGATAGAGCGGGGGGCGACAGCGGGACGCAGGAAGGTGGCCTGCGGGATGAAGGAAGGGGACGGCATGGTGGGGCGGTGGGCTGTTTGCAAACAGGCGGTGCGGAGGCGAGTGTGGGCAGAGTTAAGAAGAGAGGAGGGGCGGAAGGAAAGGGCTTCGAGCTGCTGGGGATGGTGGTGTAGGACACGTGTGGGGGGGGGGGGGTTAGGTTAGGTATCTGGGCCCTGGAGATCAGATCGTCGCGGTCTAATCTGCAGCACTTTTATTACTGTAGCTCAGAAGTTGAGAACAGCGGAGGACGAGGGCAGGCTGGCGTGTGACAATTGAACCCCGCACCCCTGATTTTTGCGCAAAATTCAGCGGAGTTGAGGGAATTGAATTTTTCGAAGCGATTTAGCGGCTTGCGACTATTAATGAGCCAGGGATCACTGAATGAATGGCAGGGCCCCGCGGTGCGAGGTCTACATTGCTTCAGGTCGGCACCATGCCCTTCAGATACCAGCGCGTCATACACACACTGCGTCGCGCCCTGAGGGCTTGGACGCGTTCTTAACAACAAAGCGCTCATCCCCTAACCCCCTAAAACAGAAAAGTCAATTTCACCCTTCTGTTGCCACCAAAATGCACCTGATCGCCCCCCTAAACGCAACATTATCTCAAAAAAGCGGATGCGTTTTGTACAAGCACCATGCACAATCAACCTCGAAGCTTCGTACTGCACTACAGTGCTAGCTAGTCTCTGGGTAGGAAATGGCCACTTTTGCAAATGCTTTGTTCAAGACGTCTTTGTGCTCTGCATGAAAAGACTTTTAAGTAAAAGCTGCCGCATTGCCAAAGCTGGGATTTTAGTATGATTGCCTGCGTCCCTGTGCGAAACTAGGCCTCCCTCCAGAATACTCCAAAAGCTCGCATGAAGAAGCGCTTTGGCACTCTGGCGAACATGTTTCTTCAAAACCTAGCGTATACCCTTGAAGGGTAGTTAGTTGCATAGACGGTGTGACCATTCACATGTCGTCTGAAAAGATCTCCACGCAAAGCATTGTCAGTGTTGGTTGTGAAATGGGGGTGGCGGTTCTGGGGAGCGTGCCGTTCGTGGTGAGGGTTGGGCGAGTGGTGTCCGCTCCCTCCGCAAATGGAGCATCCTTCCTCCTCGCCGGGCTCGACGAACTTGAGCGAGAACAAGCAGTTGCAGGGCAGTCCTGAGGATCCATTAATTCTGCTCCCACTAGGAAGGTGGCAGCCGTCGGGTCCATCCGTCCACCCCGGCCCTCGTGCGTCTGCCAGACTTTGGAGTGCGCGCCTCCGCCCCTCGAGTATCCTACTGTACTCGGTCACCACTGGCCCAGTGGGGACCCTTGTCTCCTTATGGGAATCGAGCACCACTTCTGCGGTCGCGCAGTCTCCACTTGCGCCGCCGTCCCGTGTAAAGTAGGGCCCCCTGCAGGCTACAACCGCCTCGGACTGGGCATGGCTGGAGCTTCCAGGTTCTGCGCTCTCTCCCTCGAGGGGCTCGAGCTCGCGCATTCGTCGGTCCAGGTCCTCCAAATCCGCCAGTGATGAGTCGGACCCCCCAGTGTGTGGGATGGCTCGGGGCATACCGTCCAGATTATCACCGCACAGGACGAATTCCTCCGCTGTCCGCGCACCTGCAAGGTCGGTGTCAAGCCCGGCAGCTGTTAGCAGGTCTCCCACTGTGACCACATTCGCGAGACTGCGCTCCCCGGGCAGACAATAGTCTATAATCTCATGCAGGGTTGATCCACACACTCTGAGTACAGGGTCTGTCTCGCTGGCCGCGTCAGGCAAGGCCGCGGCGGTGAAGCTCCGAGGAAGCACTCTCTTTACGGACTCCTCCCAAAACACGTCGAGATGGGTGAAGGCGAGCACCTTATCACTCTCGCAAGCGATTAACTCCTGGCCAGCCTTGGAGGACACGTCGCTCTCGACATCATGCCTGCCGCGCTTGACCACTACCGCTCGCAAATAGGAGAGGTCAGCCTCCCGCGCCAGCAGAGTTGCCGAACCCACTTCCCCCAGTTTCACACATTGCTCGACTGGGAGACCGAGGAAGTTCTCCCCGTACTCCGCCGTTGCCGCGAGTCCTTGAGCGCGCTGCCCGGAGGCTACTGGCTCAAGGCCGCACGGATACAAATGCGTCTGTATGATGCTGACCGCAGGGCAGCCACCTGAGAGAGGAGTCCTACAGTCCTGCCACCATTCCACACCCCTTACGTCAACGACACAACAACCGGCGGGTACTGGCCAGCCAGGCAGGTGGGGCAGCGGTTGGTCGAATATCACGTCAACAGGCCCCTCGTCACGCTCGCTAGCTTCGTTGCTGCCGACCAGCCTGACTCTGCCGCTAGCCACTAGGCTTACAAACTGTCCGGCCGCTCGCGTCGCCCTCGCTGCCCGCCATCTCCAGCCCCGCCTAGCGCGAGACCACGGGTTGACCGAGAGGTCGGAGACTCGCTTGACACTAACGGCCACTCCAGAGTTGTAGTAGTACAGCCCCCGCCCGCGAATTCTAACTCCGCCACCCTTCGGGAATGGGTCTGAAATCGTGCCGCAGAACATGAGGTCGCTGGACGACCATCCCACAAAATCCCACGGACAAAAAGCTTTGCACGCGTCAGAGCAAGAATGCTCGACCACGGACAAGCAGTACTTTTTTCCCGCCTCCGCATTTTCCTTGATATTCGCGCGAGCGTTTCTACCAAACGAGTTGAACGAAGGCGGTCCGACGTACCTGCTGACGTCTGGGGCTCCCATCTCTAAAAGTGAACGGCTACCATCACATCTGTCCGGCACCCACTTGATGCGCCAGCTTGATGCGGGATCTGGCCAGACAGTTCGGGACCTCGCCTGCCAGGAGTGGGGCTTGACGGGAACCCACTGCATGCCTGAGGAGTGCAGCACCTTGCCGGCTCCGGGATCGCCGCTCGTAGCGATAGTCGACAAGGACTGTGTGTCCCGGGGGGCGGCCTCCAGTGCCAGGCAGTGGAGGCTGGGCTCTTCTGACGGACTCGGAGCCTTAGTTACCGTCGAGACCCAGTATTGGCTTCTTTTCACTGCGCATTGACAGTGAGCACTACACCTCTCGCACTGCTTGATCCCGCCGTGCGCTTTGGCGACACAGATTCCGGGCACCGCTGGACGTCTGGATTGGTGCGCCGCATCTTCCGGGAGGGACGGACATTTCCGGATCCGTTCGAAGGGGGCCACAAGCCGCTGAGGGGAGGTGGGGTGTCTTTAGTGACAGCAACTGACTACTATTGCTGTCATGACGCGGTGCACGAGGGGTGGAAGACGGCACCGGAGTCCGGGGGGGGGGGGGGGGA